ATTGTGTTCCGGAACAATTCTTACCTAACTCATTTAACATTATTCTAACACATCCAACATTTGTGTTTGAGTAGCACTTGAACTTTATAAATCAAGAATCAGATCTAACAACATGAGTAATTCAATGCTATAAAAATTTTTGCAGAATCTTGAATGGTCTAATATTTCAACATATCATAGTGCATAATGAAATCTAGTGTTTGGTAAAAAAACGATTATTGTAGGTACTATCATTTCCAAAATACAAAGTTGTATTGTATTGTTCATCAAAGTTTTAAGGCCAATGGCCAAAATCGAGAGAAATGTTGTTAAATTGAAAAAAAGTGCTCGATGAACTCAACATTTTTACCGACAAAAAACTCAGATCGCCAACCTTTACGGTCACAGAATGCGCCTGGTTCAACCACAAAGTGATCACACAACTGCACAAAATGCGATCGAATTTTTTGTACTTCTTTTTCAATTTTCTCGATTCACAGTAAATGCAACTGGAAATAATTAAACCTACGAACTTCATGCAAATTTTTCGAAAACTCGTAAACGATGGAATATAGAAGAGCCATTGAAAGTGCAATAATTGATGATTGACTGGCGACAAAAGGTGAAACAAAGATATAGATTGTCAAAGGAAGCACAGTTACAAAACATATTTCAGTTGTATGATGATGAATGTTGCTTTGATAATGTTAACAAAACTATTCTGGTCAATAATTAGATGATAAATACAATTGTCAAGCTTTGAATGATTGGCCAATAAAAGCTATTCATATTATCATTATGATTAACCACTGTTATTGTGCAAAAAGGAAAAGAAAGTTGAGCTTACTCTTTACAGGTAATCACAGTTGTATATTTATCACTTATCCCTGAACCATCAGTGCAAGAATGCGCTTCAACACTTTAATAGTTGGTCAGCGAGTGATCAATTTGGGTTGACTATTAATCAAATTAATATCTTATTCCAGTTTATAATTAATGATTGGTTACATTTGCTGAGGAAAGCAGAGCAAGAAAATTGTTACATAACCCAAATTGTGTTCATCAATTAATCATCATGAAGGCAGCAAGAAGAATCAGCAAGAAATAGACAAATGAAAAAAACTAAAGAGTGAAAAACAAGTCCAAAAAAATGAAACAAATTGCATAAGTTCAAGTTGTAATTGAATTGAGAATTTTATTTTGCAAAATCAATAAAAGTAAATTGAAAGATTTCATAGATTTACTCAATTGGTCAACTTATTAGTTTATCAACTCCCAGTCACTCCCAGGGAATGGAGTGACAAGTGAAAATAATGACGAGATTATCAATTTGTGTACAATCAATCAGATTGAAATCATTAATAATAATTAGCTTTGCTGTTTGATGACAAAAGAAGTCGAGAGAAGGGAATAAACAAGGTTCAGTAGTTGACTTGGAATATTGTGACTCAATTATTTCATTTATATGGTTTTTACTCAAATTAATACCATTAATCGTGGAAAAAGAAGGAACAAGAAAAGCTTGTTTTTAACCTTAATTATTTGATAAAGTTGAAGGTAATTAACTTAAAAGGGTTTCTCCATTGGCCAAGTTTACCATTAGCAATGTTTAACTAAAGATGATTAGCCCGAAATAATCAATAAGATTTAATGAATCTAATGAATAACTTTAGTGATTCAAGGTTTGCCTTTGATTTTCAAATGAAACCCTTTTTTGCTGTTGATTTGTAAAAGGTTGAACCTAAATATTTGAAAGGAAAAGGCAAATTTTTCCAAATTTTCAGGTTAACTGTTTTTCGTGTGTTTCTGGTTTAAGCGTTTGACTTTAAAAGTGAGAATTGTTAAACATCAACTGAATTCATGGTAAATCAGGTTCAATCAGTTTCCGTTTCAATTTCACCAACATTAATAACAAAAGGTTTGATGAATGAAATTATTCAAACCATTCAATCAGACTTTTGTTTGCAATATTGCCAAGGAAATGTTAAAAGTTGAATGGAAATTTCAATTTTTAATAATTTCCACAATTTCTGGTGCTAGCCATGGATTCTGTTGATTGAAAATTGAGATATGAAAAGATGAATAAAGAGTTTGTTAAACAGGAAATTGTAAGCTTTTGTGCAAACGGTTTTGTCCTTTAAAATAGCAATTTTCAAAGTAAAAAGATGTTATGATATTATTGGTTAATGTTGCTATTAATCATCAATCCCTTGGGCTACTTAAATTAGTTGAAATAAAGCTGTATAACAATTCATCTTTTGTCATCAATCGGTGATAAATTGACAATTACGTGGGTATATAGAGTATTAATTTGATCGATTAGTCTATTGAGAAAAGAATGAGTTACAGTTTTAGTTTCATTCAGTACAAGGTAAACCTTGTTGAGTATATTTTGATTAATCAATTTGGATAAATATTGAAGATGAAGCCTTCACCGATGAAAGTTTGGTGAAAAGTAATGTTAATCGATGGGATTTCCGCACAAAATTGTAATCTTGCATTAAAAATGGGATTGAAAAAATAAGTTCAGTTTTGTCATAAAATTGGGAAATATGTTTAGTCGTTTAGGCTGAGAATTTGAATTTATTAAATGTTGAGTTTAGTATTGCAAGTTTACGAGTTTACACAAAGTTAGAACTATCAACATTCTCAGCTTCAAGACCTGTAATGTGCATTTTGGGATTTTACAGATCTTTGGCTTATTAAACTCTCGATATACTTTTCGTTGCATCTTCTTTCGTTTGATACGAGGCTTCATTAGATTTGATATGGTCAGCAAACAGGCTATTATAAATACTCATATTGGTGTCCCTTTGGAACATTTTGAAACATTTTTCGAAAACTTGATGAATGAAATTTTCGATGATAAAAATGTGAGAAGGATAATAGAATCGACTGGATTAAGATTCTGAACATGGAGTAATATTATATGTTCAAGTATGATACTGTGATGAAATGAAATAGTTTGACCAAATTAAAACAATGTGAGCTTGAATATTCCAATACGGTCGCTCTTGCATTGATGATACATGAAACAAGAAAATAAAACGAAAATTGAATATTGCCCTTTTCAGGGGCAGATCAAATAGATATGACCAAGAGAAGCCGAATATCTTTAGTGAAGTTAACTAACTTTATGCCAATTTGAGATACGATTCAAAATGAAGTATTGACTGTTATGTGTTGGACTGTATTAGTGGAAAACACTTTTTCAACAACTATAAGTACGCTAATAAAAAAGTGTTATAGCATCTGATAAATAAAAGACATTAGCAATCCATTGAAAGCTAGCAGTCCATTACCTGGATATTTTATTAGAGAAGAATCCAGGTTGCTGTTTAATGATGCAAACTAATGACTGCAAACATTGGCAAACAATCTTTGTTCTCGATGAAAAATATCTTGCAGTTAAAGTCAGAAATCGTATCGAATATTTCGCAGAAAATAATGAAAAATGCTTAGACGCAAGTGTTCAGATAAATTTACTTTTCGCAGAAATTTTGAAACAAATTGATGGTTAACATATCGAGGCGCGATTCCCATTAAATCGACTCAGTTTAGATTCAAAACGCGACCTAAAAAATGACGAAAATGCGGTACGGTTGAGCTCGACTGCTAGTCTGCTGCTGGTCTAAATGTACTTAATCTCGATCACTTCACAGATGTTTATCACTTCGTTATTGAGAGCGATACAGAATAAAAGGGTTCAAATATCATTCAAGATTATCATTTGTTGAAACTGAAATTTATAAAAACAGTCAAAAAAAATTTCGCTTGTATGTTACAAATGCTTGTATTAAATAATAGAAGCATCAACATCTTGAAAATTTCAAACACATTTGTAAAAATACTCTTAAAATCTTGTTTTTATGTGTTACATTGCCAATGGTTAATAAAATGCTTTAACTTAAAATGTTATAAATTTTTATATAAAGTGAGAGGTAACTCATATTATGTTATCATATTATATTATGTTATAAAACATAAACCTAGCAAGAGCTGTTACGAATGAGTATCTTGCTGATTGAGATTGGCGTGTCTCATAGTTTACTTGATATGCAGTAGAGTCCAAAAAACTGAAAGTATCTACATTCAGATTCGAATTTGAATATCATCAAATCTAATGCTAATGAACGAATGATAATCGAACTATTTTTGAATAGTTAGGAGTTTCATTTTCATTTATTTTTTCCATTTATTCCTACAAATTAGTAAATTAAAGTTCATTTGAAATAGACTTTGTTGGAAAAGTTTTTATTTTTGTTTAAGATTGCAAAAAGCAAGAGTTTTATGGTGACAATTAATCCAGAGATTAACTGGATATAAATGTAAAATTCGAGACTAAAGTTGAATGATTTCTGGATTAGCAATTGCAATTAATATTAAAAATGAAAATTGACGAAGTTTTGGCCTGATTTAATCGCTTTCAAGACTTTGAAATGAAATTCCTCATAAATTTTAGGATTAAGCAGCCGAATCGTTTATAAAATGCCAAAATAATTTTGATTTTTTCCTGTTCGTTACTCTGAAAAAATCTTGAAATTTCAACTTTCAAATTACTGACAAAGCGTTACTTGACGTTTAATGGTCAGTAAAACATTCAACAAACAATATTTTAACCTTTTAAATTTTTAATTGCTAGTTGACGCACATAATTAGTGTACTCTGAGATATTAAAATTAAAAGTCTTGTATTTACTTAGCAGCATTAAAATATCTAACTGTCAATATTGTTGGATTCTAATGTTTTATGCATGATCATAGTCCAAAACTCAATGAATTTGTTATCAAAACTTATTTTTGTTTTCTTTGAATTCAAACGCTTTTCTCTCGCCAATTAGCTCAAAAGACAGTCAAAACAATGATTAAAATCGTTATTATTGCTAAAGCCATGGTCTTAATATAGCCCGAGTTTCTTTGAAATCAATTCAGCCTGGTTTCTGGTTAACTTTAAACAAATTTTCTGGTTTATTTGTCGATAAACAGATTTACTTTAACGCGTTAAATGACAGCAACACTTACCTTGACCAAAATTTGCACAGCAATTTGGAAACAAAAAGAAGTCAAAAAGATGGTCAAGTGAAGTCACAAATTGTCAAATTGTCCAACCTTCAATTAAATCCGAAAACACATAATTTGGTCAACAGTTTGGCTTGACAGAAAACACAGCTGATTAAAGAACGTTTTAAGATGGAAAACAAAATTTGAAGATAAAAAGGGTTTAAACTGTTGTCTATCTTTATAGTCCAGTTTTGTTTGGTTGATTCAACAGTTGAACAAATGGTCAAAAATATTGATGGACAATTTATATTGATAAAGTGACAAGTTTTTACTTTCAATGTTGATACCAATGGAAATACACTGAGCAAGAAAATAAAGTGAAATGAATAAAAATGAATGCAACTTGACTCAACTCACAGTTTCCAATAAACAAAGGTTCAACTCGTTTAATGCATGCAAAGGTACGCATGATCTTGCTGAATAAACTCACGATAAAAGACAGTTTCACCGTAAATTCATCTTCTCTTTCTTTCATCATCTTCGTCTGTTTCTTTCCTTTTCTCTATTATCTAGTGAAAGTAAAAGTCGTTAACTTGTTCTGACAATTGTAGCATTTTCACTTTCAATAAGTCCGCGTTAAATATTTAGTTTGTTTGGTGACCAATAGATCTCGCTAGCTTCACTCCGGAAAAAATGCAACTCTGTTGTTGTGAACAGACTTTGTTGCCATATTTATCCTGAACTCTATTGAACCAAAATATTAAAGGGATCTTAAGTAACTAACTAGTGTATTTTGTTTGTTTTTTTTAAACCAGTGATGGATTTCAAAAAATATCATGGTAATAATTTCACAGAAGATAGTGTTGATATACAACTGTGGACTGATAAAGGTCTTATTGAACGTGGAAAGGATAGACTTTGTCGCCACGGTCCTAAAGCTAAATGTGTCCATTGTACTCCATTAGAGCCTTATGATGAGGCTTACATGAAGGAACATAACATTAAACATATGTCTTTTCACTCGTATTTGAGAAAAATGACGGCTGGAGTTGACAGGTGAGTCTCTCTTTTATGCTGTCATATTTTTGAGAATTTTAAATTTGTGCCTATCTTATCAAATTATTTGACTGAAGATTCAATAGCTGAAAAGAAAGCAACTTTTCTTTCAACCATCCGCTTTCAACATCAACTGCTTTTTCTAACACAACAATAACAACTTTCACCATTTTCTACTTTGCTTTCATTTTTTTGGGACAGCTCTGATTACTAATTTGGTTCACCGAGTTAGTCGACCATGATTTCATGAGGTCTCATGTAATTAAGTTGTCTAGTTTTCAAGAGTAGACAAGAGTTATTCTTTTGAGTTGATGAATTTTTAAACTGCTGTAGCTCTTTAATTTAGAATATTATGTATCATAGATTCAGTGCATTGCTCAGTTCTATCTAGTTTCTAGTCTTACTATATTTATTTCAAGTTAATTATGACTAGAAAATTGTTATTCAATGATTTGCACTTGTTTTACAGCTGCTACTTTCCTCTTATAAATCGATGAAAATTAGGCTCTTCATCGATCATGGTAACTCTATCCACGTTCTTGTATACTTATTTACCTTGTTTTTTCTTTTTTATTTCAGGGGTAAATTTGCCGCTCTAGATAATATTAGTTGTAAAATAAAGGAAGGCTGCAAGGATCATTCTCCTTGGCCTGCTGGTATTTGTACCAAATGTCAACCAAGCGCCATTACTTTGACTCGTCAAGTAAGTTAATCATGATAATTATTGAATCGCATTTATTTTAATCTACTTTCTCTTTTTATCTTTCAGGATTATCGACATGTAGATAACATAGTGTTTGAAAATGCTAAAATTGTTGAACGTTTTCTCGATTATTGGCGTTTTACTGGTCATCAAAGGATAGGATTTCTTTATGGATATTATGAAGTACATAAAGACTTACCTTTAGGTATAAAAACAACGGTGGTTGCAATATACGAGCCTCCTCAAGAAACTGGTCGTGATTTTGTTAAACTAAACTGGCCTGAACCGAATCAAACTGAAGTTGATTCCATAGCAAAAAAGTTAAATTTGCAACGAGTAGGCTGGATTTTTACTGATCTCATCCCTGATGATGTGACTAAAGGAACTGTCAAGCATTTACGCTCAGCAGACTCTTATTTTCTTAGTGCTCAAGAGTGCATTCTGGCCGGACACTTTCAAAATGTTTATCCCAATGCATGTAGACTTTCAACTCAAGGCTACTTCGGGTCAAAATTTGTCACTGTTTGTGTTACTGGAGACAAAGACAATCAAATTCATATGGAAGGTTATCAAGTTTCCAATCAATGTATGGCGCTAGTTAATGATAACTGCCTTTTACCTACAAGAGATGCTCCAGAATTGGCCTTTGTTCGTGAAACAACAAAAGATCAGTATGTACCTGACGTATTTTACACAGAAAAGGATAAATTTGGCAATGAAATAAAAAAGGTTGCTCGAACCTTACCAGTCGAATATCTCTTAGTTGATGTCCCAGTTTCAGCACCAGTTGAGCCCAAGTTTACTTTCAACTGTACTAAGGACAAAAACCCTTTCCCTATTGAAAATAGATCAATTCAAGGTCACATTCAAGATTTTCAAACTTTAACGAATTACTTGAGCCAGTTTACGAAGGCACAATTTTTATTAGCTGCTCAAGATTTCCATTTTATATTATATATTGCAACTATGGATATGCTGCCATTAAAAGGATCCATTGACCCTCTTCTTGAAGCAATTAACAGTAAAAACAGCCAAGCTGCTATTGAATGGACAAACAATGATGAATGGCAAACCGTAGAACAACTCATAGCTGCTCAAAGTTCATGTAAGTTTCTATTCCATTTAACTTCCCCTGAAGATAAAAGCCACATCTTTACTCATTTTTATTTTTTCAACTTTAGCGGCATCCTCACAGCCTTCATCGAGTAGTAATGTTTCAAGACAAGAAGCTTCTGCGGGTAATGGTAATGATGATATAACAATTGTCTGGTCTTGTTCATTTTGTACTTTCGAGAATCCAAATGGATCTGGTAGCTGCGAAATGTGTGGCTTACCCAGGCATTCTGGTTAACATTAATTAACTTGAAGCTATTTTGCTATTCTCAATTCTCCTTTTTTTGTAATGAAAGCAAAAAATTCAAAATTGATAGAAGAAAAGAAATGACAAATTCGTTTATGTTGTAAATACTTATACCTTGATAACATTCAATTAACCAGCACAGATAGAATTTGAAAATAGTTTCCTCAATTTCTATCATCTAAACTTTTCAGATTAGTATAACAAATGTAGGTAAGTTTACTTTATTACGAAACATTTTCGAACTAAATCATTCTGATGGAAAGAATGATGACCATTGTAATTGAAGTAATTTAAAAACATAAACCAATCATCGAAAAGTGTACGTTTCGTTTTTGTTCGGCCTATTTTTCATCTTTATCCTACTATCTTTAAATAGCAAAATTGTCAGTCACACATAAACAGTTTGTTTAATAGGCTTAAATTCATCAGGGTAAGACTGATAATGACTAAATAAATTAACTATTTCAATCGCTTTTTCCTTCACTTGAGTATTCCATTGATCTAGATTAGTTGTGTCCAGTTCAAATATATCTGGAGTTGGTCTATCAGTTGCACTTAGCAATCTATTCTTGATCCATTTCTTTTGTTTACGAGCATATCTACGGGTAACCAGTTTTAACCTTTCAACGCTGTTCTTCAGTAATTTTTGGCCCTTTTCACTTTCTTTCTCCTCGGGGCTCAACATCAGGTAACTATGAAACTCTTTGAAACCAATACTTTGAAAGATTCCTTCAGTATAATCGGCAGTTCTAATGCAAGGTTGTAAAAAATATTTACTTCAATCTAGTAATTTAATAAAAGTTAATCATTTCAATAAAATTTAAAAACTCACTGTTTTTGTTCCAATCGAGTCATGTTGTAATTCTCATGAAATTTCGTCATTTCATCAATCAAACCTTGCTCAATCATTGAATCAACCCTGTCATCTAAGCGTTTATTAAGAACTGCAAATAAATTTTTAGGTAAACCATTAGTTTTTATACTGTAAAGATTTCCATCAATATTTACCTTCTTCATCACAGATAAGATAAAATATTAATGAATTGGGATATCTGAGCGGACCACCAAATTTATTTCCTCCTTTCATAGATTTTTGCTCTTCAATCCATTCAGAATGTTTTCTGCCTGATTTCTGGTAAACCTGTAAACTTCGAATTATTTTTCTTTTCTCATTTGGATCCAATTGATTGGCCATTTCTGGATCTACCATTCTCAAAATAGAATGAAGAACTTCAGATGGGACAGATTTTAAGGCTTTAGGAATAATTGGACGAGCAAATAAGGTTTCCTTGTCAATGGTTCCATCTAAAGTAACATTTCCTGAATCGATCATTCCTCTCATTGTTTCCTCATCTTTTTCAGTCACTAAATCATCTCCTTGGTCATCAGGATTAATCAATATTTTGTACAAAATACTTTCCACATAATACATGGTTCCCCCAGCAATTATGGGTGTTTTATTTTCCTTTAAAAGTTTCTCAATCTGGAAAAGCCACTTGTTAGTCAAGAGAATCTAAACTGTTAAACATACTTACTATGGGTAGAGCTCTATTCCGGTAATCAACAACAGTAAAAGGACGTAGAGGATCAGCAAAATCAATGAGATGATGAGGAACTCCCTGCTTTTCTTGATCAGTCGCTTTGTTAGTTATAATGTCGAGATCTTTGTAAAGCTTAAAGAAATAAGATTTAATCAGAAAATTGAATTTGCTTAAATTAAACAAAAAATTGTTATAAACTAACATTTCAATAATCAAGTCTAGTAAGATTAATTTTTACCAAAATAAACAAGCATTTACCTGCATTGAATCAGCTGAAATTATTTCACTTTCAAAATGTTTCGCTAATTCGACTGATAATTTAGTTTTACCAACTCCAGTAGGTCCTATAACAAAGATCAATGGAGTTTTATCCTTTTTCAAAAGACGATTAATCAAACGTATCAAGAGCTGTATCATAATTAAATTGATTTGCGTTACTTAAACTACATCAACAAGGAAGATGGAAACACGAACAGAAGAATAAACAAGCCAAAAGATTACACAAAACCAAAGAAACAGTGAACAAATAGACCTTTTCGAGTCACCATAATTCGAGATTAACAAAATACAACACTGATTTATGTTGACAAGCAAGTCAATAATTACTGAACCATTTATAGATAGTGATTCAACAAACTCAAATCACAACAATTAACGACACAACCTCATGAGAAAAATTGTGTATTAAATTACAATATTCAAAAGATGTCAACAACTTGAATCATCTGGTTAACCATGCTTTGCATCTCTTAGAGCCTTCAACCCAAATCATTGAAAAATGCCTCATAAGATGGCGACACCAAACAGAAAAACGAAATTAAATCTTTTAAAAAAACCACAAAATCAGTAACAGCAATTAAAAAAAAGCAAATTAGTTAAAGAATGAGCAATTTATTAACACGAATAGATCAAATCTAAAACAAAAGGTCAAAAATAAGTTGAAAATGAAAAGCAAATGAATGTAAAATAAACCCAAATTAGATTGTAAATGCTCAACGTTTAAACCCATTTAACGATGCAATATTTTGCCGATAATTACCAGAATAATATAAACAGATGAAAGTCAAATGTCAACTGTAATGTAAATAAATAAATAAAATGAGTAAAAGCAAGAAGGAATCTTTATGTGTAACCAAAAGAAAGATTAAAAAGGAAGAGAGAGAAATGATGAGGAAAAGAAAGGCCAAAAAGGGTCAAGAAAAACAATAACAATGAACAATAAATTGTCATTTAACCAACTCAAATGGACAATATAAATAACAGTTAAGTCTAAATGAGCAAATCAATTGGCAACAATAACTGATCTAATTTACAATTCAATTCAATATGCTAACCAAGTTCACATATGGTTAGATAATAATCATCATGATATCCTTGCATTTTCCTCATCTTACATTTTACTTTCACTAAATGATGATACAGAAAAAGAAGAGGAAAGAAACAGATGAAGATGATGATAAAGGGAGAAGAAGATGAAAGAGAGAGAGAAGATGAAGTTAAGCTGAAACTGTCAAAGAACTCATTTTTATCGTGAGTCTATTCAGCAAGATCATGCGTACCCTTACAAGTAAAGTATTAAACGAGTTGAACCTTTGTTTATTGGCAACTGGGAGTTGAGTCAAGTTGCATTCATTTTTATTCATTTCACTTTATTTTCTTGCTCAGTGTATTTCCATTGGTATTAACATTGAAAATAAAAACTTGGATTGTCACATTATCAATATAAATTGTCCATCAATATTTTTCACTATCAACTGTTAACTCAACAAAACTGGACTAAAGACAACAGTCTAACAGTTTTAACCCATTTTCATTTTGTCCAAATTTTGTCCAAAAAAAGGGAAATTGTGTTCTCTGAAACATTTTCCAATCAACTGTGTTTTCTGTTAACCCAAACTGTTGACCAAATTGTGTATGTTTTTGGATTTAATTGAAGGCTTTGGACAATTTGACAATTTGTGACTTCACTTGACCATCTTTTTGACGTCCTTTTGTTTTCAAATTGAAATGGAAACCAAACTAAAATTGTGAACATAAAGTGAGGTTTACATTTTGTTGTTGAAGTGATTCAATATTGAAGAGCATCAAAATTGAAAAGACTGAAAGCCATTAATCAACCCATTAATTAACAGTCAACAATTTTGGTCAAGGTAAGTGTTGCCATCATTTAAATCGAGTAAATCTGTTTACCAGAAAATTTGGTTAAAGTGAACCAGAAAGAAAAACAATATTTACCAGAAAACCAGACAGAGTTCATTTTTAAAGCAAGATAATTGAATCTCATTTTAAAGGAAAACAAATCTTTATTGATTTAAAGTGAAAAAAAGGTTAATCAAGCTGAAACATTTTCTCTTCCAAACAATTAATCATTTCCAAATGTTTAATCATAATTGTATCTTCATCATCATTCTCCCAATCATTATCATCATTATCATGTTTATTGAAAAGGAAAAGGCAAAAAGGCAAGAAAAAAGGTAAACTGAAACATTGATCTTAACTTGAGGTTTCCTATTACTTGATCATATCTTCATTATTACTTTTATTATTAACCATTATCATTTCATTCCTTATATTATTGACTCAATTCTCGGTATCAAATGGTAAACAAAAATAGTGTTTCATGTTAACCCATTCTGGTTATCGAATAATGATTCACTACAGAAACCTATTAGTCCGAAACCAATAAAAAGGTCTGTAAACTTGCTTATCAATGCAATTTAACATTTCCTTCAATTCTGATCGTCTTTCCCTTAACCCAAAAAAGGGAAAGAAAAGTTATTCATCTTAAACCATTCATCTTGATGATCATCTCAACTCGCCATCAAATGAAAATGAAACATTTTTTTTTGTATTCCAACAACAAATTTGACTTCTTTTCACCAACTATCATTTCCTTTACCAGCCATCATCACCATCACCACGATTTAACCTCTTTTACCATTGGTGTAATGAAACTGGTTTAAATTGTCTCGTCCATCTGGTCATTAATTCAGTGAAAGAATTTCAAGTGTAACCACAGTTGTGAGTAAATAAGGAGAAATGTTTGGCCAAGAGCAAACTTGACCTCATCATTTTCAAGTTTACCTTTTGTTTATTGATAATGATTGTGATTCTTGTCCCTCCCTGTCTATTAACTATGAAACCTAGTTTTATGTTTCCATGTGTTGTTAGAGGACTAAAGACATTAAAGTACGATAAGAAGTAAAGCCAATGCTGTGTATGACATGAAATATAATAATATCATAATGATGATAAGAAAATGGATTCTAGTCACTCCCAGGAGATGATATTATAATGAAATAAATGAACATGTTAGTTAATTTATAAATGTATATATAAATTACATTATTAAATTGGCTTTTCAACCTTTTTTCTGCCCTTTTTAGTTTAACAACATTTCCACTTGAATGGTTGTAAAACATTTCCCAGATTAGACATTTTACCAGATTAATTGACATTAGAAGACAACATTCATAATGATACCTGAAATCAAGTTTAGAAGCTAGTGTAAGAAGAGAAAAATTAAGATTAATTATTTTCTTGTTTGATCAATTTTGATTAGTCTTTTATTACCAATCAATTCATCAAAAGCGTCACTTAAAACAGTCTTTTCATTTACTGTAAGATGACAATCAATTCCGAGTAAACTGTTAAAGAAACAATTTTGAGGCTGACTTATGTATCGAATGAAATTTTACAGTTTTTCATAACGAATCGCTATTCGAGTGAAATTCAGACATTGTTTCTAACGAATTGTAGAATTGAAGAAATTTTTTGAGAAAAGTGGATTTTCTTTTTAAAGATGTTGAGATTGAAAGGCTTGTTACGACTTTTATAAACCGATTCAAAGGCTGAACGTTTCTGGAAGCTTAGAAGAAAATTTTATCTACAATTTCCTTTAGAAATACAGTTTCCAAAAATTTCTAGCTCACATTTTCTTCGCATTTATTCAACAATTTAATCATTTTGACTTGGCAATGAATTTCGGTCAGATTATTTACTGTTGATCCTGAGAAACTAATATTTCAATGTTAAGTTTCCAACTTGAAATGTTTTCCGTTTAAACTTTTGATCAATTGTTATAAGTTGTCATTTCCCACTTTGCCAAGTATTTTATTCAGTAAAGTTTAAGAAGCCAAACTTTTTTCTCGAAAAATTTTGCTCAAGAAAATTCTTTTTACCATTTCAATATTTCAACTGAAATGTTGCTTTGTCAAGTAATGGAATCACATGGAAAAATATTCCGATTCTCATTCTTTACCATTTTGCAGTTCTCATCTGTTTTTGATGAAGAAAAGCTTATAAATTTTAACAAGTTTCAATGATCTAAAGACTAATTCAAATAACAAAAGATCGATGCCAAGAATATTCAATTTTTTCATTGAAAAATTACTCATGAATCGATCAAATTGATTAATGTTCCATTCAAGGCTCATGATTACAATTAACCAAATGTTTACCTTATTTTGAGCGATGCTTTCTTCACCAACTTTTTTTCTGTTTACCTTTTTTTACTCTTGATAAACAATGATATTGATAATGATATGTGTTGGGTTAAGTGTCATCCAATGATATTATTAATAATAATGACAATGAGGTTTGATGTGAAGAAGCAAAGGAAATTAAATACAAACAAGAAAAAGGTAAAAGTAATCCAGGGAAGAAGAAGAAGAAGAGACTTGAAGATTAAGGGAACAAAAAATATTTGGAAATGAAAGTTGAATACAAGTAGACAAACGAGTAAAGGAACAAGATGATGAACAAGGGAAGAAGAAAAAAATGTCATCACATTCATCATGATGATCATGATCAGGATTATCCGAAAAACTCTCAACCTGATGCTTCAAATGATTATGATAAAGATGATTTTCTCATCATCAACTTGTACTTCAATTAATAAAGTACATCAACAACAGTTTTCCATCGTCGCCCTCATTTCCATTTATTATTACATTCATTTTTTGCTTCTCATTTCTTTCACCAGATTCAGTGATTATCTCAATATTGATTCTTCTTTTTCATTCTCTAAACTCAATTTCCCATTGAAATGATAAACATTGAGATAACAAATTTTCACAGTAAGCTGCTCAAGTTTGTCTGGTGCTTTAAAATTGGATCAATGAGAAATGCTAAGTTGCAAGCTCTATGTACTAAATGATGAATTTTGTCGTCAAGAATGTTTAGATGATTGGAAAGATTGAATATCTTGGCCAATATTGGAATTGTCTTGTTTTATCATCCTAATAAGGTTCAGGGTAAAACGGTCAATGAATAACTTTGAATGACAGCCTATTGTTCGATGTATATAATGTATGACTATTTATGTAATTTCATTCAAATGGAATGTTTATTAGGACCAAATCAATTTCAACATCATCAATAATCATATGCTTTGACAACAGCAAAAAGTTGAAAGTCGCAATTGAATACTTTGAATGAGAAAACTGAATCAAATCTCTGTTTGCTTTGACTCGATGCTAGGAAAAAAACGATCACAAAGACGAGTGTCTCAACAAGAACAAGAAAGTTCAAACAAAAGTGAGAACGAAATGCACCTTTCATTCCTTCAAGCAGATTTTATCAAAGTTCGCAGAATGCTACGACAGACTTTTTGTTGCATCAATAATATATCATTAAAAAAGTAATTCATCTGCTATCGAAGATCGAGACGCGTCTGGCTTTGCGCAAAATCTTTGTGATATTTGCGCTAATTCCATTTTAAGAATGTCATG